AACTAGCATATCAAAAACATACATACACACTGAAAAAGACAAACTAAAAAAGTAAATTATTAGCCAAAGTAAATTCTTAATGCAGCAACTAACGGAATGTTTGCATTTCTTTTTAGCTATTGTGATCAATTGCCACTCTGTACTAAAACCAGGGCTAAACGACACCCTCCCCCAAGTGATATTGCTAAACATGAGATCCCATTCTCCTTAATATGGAAAAGTCTGTGAGCACATACGAACACATTTTTTCATAAGTAGGTAATGGTTACTTGCTGGAGTACGTACATTACATTCTTTGTCTACTCTGTTGACACAATTAGATGCACACTAATGCTGGTGCCAAAATTTTAAGGGCAATTGACAAAACTTTAAGAGACTGTTAGAGTGACTTTCCACTTAGCATCTCCCCCTCCACCATCACCTTTTACTGCCCTGGATAACCTCTCTCTCGCAAGCCTTGATCTGTGAAGGACACTGGAAAACTCATTATCTAGAAAAAGCATGTCTCAATGGAAGCACAACTTGATTTATTTGACAGCTTGAAAGAAGGAACAATAAGAAAAACCAGAACAGAACCAGAAAAAATAAAGCGAGTCAAGGAAGGCCCTGGCATTTCTTATGTAGCATTCATGATTTTAGAACAGGTAGGCTGAATGCCAGGAGAAAGGAGGTCAGTAAGACCATGTGACTGCTTAGTAATTACACTTGCTCAATACTGCAATTACACAAAACTATTAGTTCATGAGCGTTACATGACTGTTTAAAGAGAAGAGTTAATCAGAAAGCACCTATGTATTAAAGGCTACTATTTGCCAGGTTTAAAACACATTTTTTAAAAGGAACTGTAACTGGTGACTCTGCAGAGGGACAATATTCCTTCTAACAAGAAACTAAACCTCCTGGTATTCTTGCACCATTTCTCCTCATATCCATTTTGTTAGTCATACTTTGAACTCTGACAGCCAAGAGTTTTGCCCAGGGCATTGGGACCATAAACTTAACAGAACATAAACTCCCGGTGTCAATCAATTCAAACTAGAAAGGACCACTGTAAATTCACACCAGAAGATTAAATTTGACTCATGTTTCAAATGCTGAAGGGCTTCTGCTCCTATTCTCAAATAAAATATTTTTTACTAATTCAACACCCTACTCCACAGGCACGTAAGCAAGTATCTTGCTTACGGTCATCAAGTGACCAAGGAGATAAAATGCTTGATTATTAACTGCAAGTGCCAAATGAGACTGGCAAACGAAAAAACTGCATCCTAAGGCTTGTGTACGCATACCGCGAATGTGTGTGTTACCACTGGTTAAAAATAACTCATTAAAACCACTGGAACCTAAAATGGATTCATCCCAAACTAGTAACTGTTCATTTAAATAAGAATTTATCAAGATCACTGTAATAAAAATACACCTCTAGCAGCCAATTATTCTATAAAGTTACCACATTTTTAAACTTGAAAAAAATCTGAAGATCTCACAAAACCGGGCGATGAAGGCAGTGAGATTTCCTACTCAAATCCATGTGCAGCATGTGCCTTGAGGCGTGTATTTGAGTCCCAGGAGACTGTTTGAAGTGCTTTGGATAGGGGAGTTGCAATTTACCCTTCTTCTGGGAGATCTTCGGGGGAAGCACACAAAAAACAAAGGACTACAAGAAAAATCCTGCTCTTCATAAAATAAATAAATAAGCCCACACCACCAAAAACTCAGCCCCTCTAACCAGCAACTAAAAAAAGATTGTTTTCTTCAAATGCTAAACGCAGTGCAGGGACTAGTTGTCTTTTAGATCACCGAGAACACTGTTAAAGTAAACCAGCTACCAAATATATCACACACAAACGTACTCAAGGACTCTATTAGCTAACGATCATATTAAATAGTCACTGAAGAACCAGGGCAGCAGCACTGAAGACATGAACCTCCTTTTGCTAGAATCAAAGTTCACATTTGTCTATCATTCACTAGCTCAGAGAATATAACCAAAAACGGTTTAGCACTTAAATTGCAAAACACATTAGAAACCTATGAAGTATCCTTAAGACATGTGATTTCCTTAACACTTAGACTTGTGCCAATTGCCCGCATTCTTTTAAAACTTAAGTAGTTGTTTGTGCTTCATCCATAAAACTAAGACCTCTGAGCTTTCTTTATAAAGTCAGGATTTGTTATTCAAAAAAACTATCCCCTTCAAAACAAACAAAAATTAAAAAGCCTCTATAGAAGAGATGTACATCATGAACCTCAGATAAGGGAAGTATGTAACAATTATTATTCTTAAGTGGTATGAACGTTATCTTCGACAGTGAAAATGGAATAACCATCAAGTTAAAGTTCACAGAAAGCATTTTTAGTATTTCTGTCTTCTGAAAACCAGAAATAGGACCATAAGGAAAACTTCTCAAAATCTGAAAAAAAAACAAACCTCCAACGGTAAATTACCTCGCTGGTAAAGTATTCAATGACACGGGATATAAATTACTAAATCTGAAAGAAACAATCCTTGAAGAGAAGTAAACTGAACTGAAACCCAAAGTGTCTCAACTTTGTCATTCTTCTATGATGTGGTGTTAAGACAAGTTTCATTGTGCTTCTTCCAGAATTAGGCAACTCTTCTCAGCACCGTAGTCTGGGCAGGCTAAACTCATGAGCATTTCAAGTTCCTGACACTGGATGGACAGATGACACAAGAACTCTACTGCATCATCAACCCTTTTTAAAAGAGTAACGACTTTCAAATCCCTAGTGATGTTTTAAATAATCTCACAAGGTACCAATGCACAGAAGCCCCGTTACCCTCTGCCTTATCAAGCACCACATTTAGCATGGAAGCGTCACGACACAACTCCACAGTAAAGTTCATTTTTGTATTAGGCAGGACCACATCTGGCTTGAAGGGGTAGGAGTAGATCTGCATGCTCTGGAAAGGGACGCTACCCACCCCTCCCTGCAGGAAAGATATCCTGAGAAATTACTTTTGAGCCAACCACGCAGCTTAACAGTTTCTTCCAGAATGGAGTCACCCTGTGCCGGCGCGGGGTCTCCGGCTGCCCAGAGGTGCTGAGGTGAAGCAAGCCCTCCGGGCCGCTCCTCCCGGGGCCCGCAGCCCGGCTCCGAGCTCCAGCGCGGGCGGGC